CACTTCAGGCACATTAAAGAGTATCGTGGACTATTCCACTTTTGAGTCTAGTGTAGTGTAGTGTCATACAATGACGTTGGCGGCCATGGCTTTCCACTTCTCTCTGTTCTTCGCAGAGGTTAAGCCGTTGATCCTGGTGCTGTTCAGCGCCTTCTGCTTTGCCTTGCTCTCGCTCTTTTGCCCTCGATTTTCCCCGATTGTCTCTTTGGCACTTTTGAGTATGGAAGGTCGCACAACAAACATTCTGGTTTGAAATCTTCTTCAGAAAAAAAAATCGAGAAGCTAGCATTTTGATCTGGAACGTTTTCCTTGAAGACATAAAGTTCTGGAGTTGCATAAATGCTTAGATATCATTTTTCCGTAAAATTTATGTAAGGGCAAATGGATTTTGAAATCACGTAAGAGTATGCAACTAAAGTTGTCCTTTCAAACTTAAATAATTTTTCTTTACATCCAGACTTTCCACTGCAAGTCGATTCCTTTGTGTCAACAAACACAAAAATACAACTTAGCACTTGTAGGTTGATACAAATGGCAAAATGTATTTGACTGCAAGTGATGAAAGATTTGGGCAAGTACCAGTCATACTGACCCATTTTTTTTTTCCAAAGTAGACCACTGGTACTCAGGAATCGAACAGCATGGCTCTTCACCTCGACCAGCGGCCGCGCGGCAGCAGACAGGAATCGACCAGGATGGCTAGTCAGCTTTTTTTACAAGCATAATGCACAATTGCACATCCTGTGGACCACCCAAAAAGTCAGCGTTGACTCTACTGGTTCATGGACCGCCAGTTGGGAGCTACTGCTCTATGTGCATGCCACGCTTGTGCAGTAGGATTCATCCTGCTGCACAACCGTAAGATAATAAGTGTGATGATGATAACGATGAAGATATATATATATATATATATATATATGTGTGTGTATATATATATATATATATATATATATATATATATATATATTATAATATATATATATATATATATATATATATATATATATATATATATATATATATATATATATATATATACATATATAAAATCATAATTGCACTTGAATGTATGATAAAGTATTGAGCAGTTTTGTGAAAATAAATTTAGATTTCGAATTTAAAGGGTTTGTGTCTCTTTGACTGCAGCAGTTTTCAGCTTTCAAATGAACTGATATCTAAAGGGTCTTCCCAACAGTAATTTTCCTAAATAAAATAAATTATACTTTACACAAATCTTCAGAAGGAAAATCTGTTCACTAATTAAACCTGCCTCGTAATTTCCTCATCTACATATAAATTAAAAAAAAAAGTATATAAAGACAATAAATAAAGAAATGATATAACAATGAAAAGGGTAAATGATCATCAGTTGGTCAGACCAGAGTGAGAGTGAAGGGCAGAACCTCAAGACAGGTTATATTAAGTCTTATCAAAATAAAATTCATTAGAAAGACAAATTGTTCCAACATTATGTGACATATGTTCATGTTCACAATTAAAGGTATAACGATGGACACACACACACTCATTCATTTAGTGTATATGTGTGTATATATATATATATGTATATATATATATATACATACATATATATATATATATATATATATATATATATATATATATATATATATATGTATATATATACATATATATGTATATATATACATATATATGTGTATATATATACATATATATATTATATGCACAGATACAAAGAGGGACCAAGAAGAGACGACATACAAAATTACATGCACGTGTCGGTGTGTATATGTATATGTATATATATATATATATATATATATATATATATATATATATATATATATATATATATATATATATATATATATATATATATATATATATATATATATATATATATGTATGTATGTATATATACATATGAATATATATGTATATGTATATATATTCATATATATACACATATATTACAAATAACTGATCCGACAGCTCCAGCTAAGGAACCTAGAAAGGACTGAAAAAAGCTAAGTATTGAGCCTAAGTGACAGTGTTAATAAAAGATAGGAGCTGGACCGTGCAAGGTAGCACTTCTACCTACACCCCATATCATATGCAGCCTCGTGGTTCTACTTGACTTCATTCTTTTCTTATGTCGTCTACATATTTTTCTTTCATTTTACCCACCTCCTGCATCTTGTATTGTTCTTATGCTAGCCTATCCATTCGTTTCCTCCCTGGACTTTACACGGTGATTTAGTTTTTGATTTCAAATATGCTCCACTTATCCTAGGCCATTGAGAGATATCCCACAAGGCCATATTCCCCGTGGGATATCAATAGTAGTAGTTGTAGGGGATTTGACATCAGGGGGTGGGCTTACCCTACAGATGCCCACTGACCCTCGTGGGGAGGGACCTTGGCCCTTAAGGCACCTTTCTTGGTAGGTGGGGCCTCTGGGGACTACACATGTCCGTAGACTACATATATATATTTCTTCTTCTTCTTCTTTTTCTTT